AAATGGCACAGCTTCTTAAATCTTAGCTTCTTACACCGCGTCTACACTGGACAGCTAAAGTCTGTCTACACTGAAAATCATTTTGAAATTTGTGTCAGTACGTCATAAATAGAACGCAGCAGCAGTTTACGGTCGGGAATTTGTCACGCCGCATCCAGTGTAGACTGCACAATAGGTTCTATTGTATTTTGTCGCATCGTGCCGCGCCGCTCGCGTCCGGTGTAGACACTGTGTTAATCAGTCAATCAAGCATTATATTATGATATTATGACAATTAAGCACTATTTAATGATAGAACTTTAGTGATTAGAACTAAAACTTTGTAACCATGTATGAAAGCATATTTGTCAGTTTAACTGAACTTAGGACTGGTGGTGATGCTTAAGATATTGTTGGTCATTCAGGGTTTCTGAAAAAAAAAAAAGATAATAGTAATATATAATAATAATAATTATTATTATTAAAAGATAATACTACTACTAATTCCACTACTAATAACAATGCACTAAGGATTGATGAGCTGCTGGGTTCATGAAAATTAATCACGTTGTCAGCGTTCACTCGAATTGATTTGCTGAAATCAAAACAGGGATGGTAATAGATGAGCGCCAGCCAATGAGATTGCCGTTTGCGCATTAGTTCAGCCCTTGTTCTTAAAAGCCGAATAATTCTAAATGAACTCTGTTATTTTGACAGGAAAATACAACAAAAGAATATGGTTTACATTTAACGTGTCGATTCAGCGGGGTATGCAAGACTCTCTCGCTCTCTCTCTTTGCATGTATGAGAAACAGCGCTATCATATCAGCAAAGTGACGGCGAGTCGTGCGCCTCCACACTAGAGTTTACGGTATGTCAAATACTGGTGCGCTGCACCTTCATTGAGTTGAATTGAAAAAGTACAGCTCTCTTGATGGAGAGCAACTCTCAAGCGCTGTCAGAGTGTTCAGCAAGTGAAAATATATCTGTGCTAAATTTATACTTAGCCTCCAACTCACACACTGGCAAGTAAAATCTAAGAATTTATTAGCAAATGGCTAACGATAGACATCATTTAGTCGCCCAGAGTGAAGATTTAGTCGCATATGCGAGTGATTTACTCGCAATGTAGAGGTTGATTGGGAGGCCCCTAAACTGAGCTGTTACTCTTTCTGTGCCCTATCTGTCGCCCCACTCTCTGTCAACAGGTGTGTGTGTGTGTGTGTGTGTGTGTGTGTGTGTG